TCGCTGCCGTAAATGAAGACAGATGTCACGTAGCAGTTCAGTACTCATTTCTTTGTTACTATCGACCTTGCTTATATCCTGATAGGTATTTTAAAGCTCTTATGACCGTCTCACCTTATACGTTGAATAAATCGAATTCGAAAACCCATCCTTTTCATGCTTCTTTTTATGTTGTTGCACACTTCTTCTATGTATCGTGTCTATATATGATGTGACCGATCATGTCTCTCCACAATTACTCATCATTTGTATATTTTGTATTTTTGCTATCTATCGTAATGGCTTGATTTTACTAACCATTCACATAAGCTCGTTAGGTAGATTATGAACTTCATTCCTCTGTCTGTCTTTTCTTCTATATGTCTTTGCCAGTGTCAAATTTACAAAGCCCCGTTCTCTCATTAAGTACCGGATATATTTCAACTGCCTCGTTCTGATTCTAAGTATCAGGGCTATTTTTGCTCTCATTTTTTGTTTTTTTTATAAAACTTCATCGTTGTTCACATGTTTGGTCCATGAGATTTTCAGCATCCTTCTGTAGAACCATATCTCTACTGTCTCTTCTTCATCTTTGGGAATATTGTCCTGCATTCACTGCCATATAGGAGGACTGATATTCCGAAGTCTTCCTGTTTGTGGTACATTTGCTTAATTTATTTTCTCTCCCTGTACAAGTGCTTTGTTCCCGGTAACTATTGTAGATTATTCTAATATGATGCTATAATTATAACAGCTGGGCACCTCGAGGTGGTGTAATGGTTAGCAAGTTTGTCTTGCTCGAACAATTACGACTGAGTAGTGAGTTCGATCCTCACTGGGTGCCACATACTTTCGGCTTTGCGCCACATCTGAGCTTCGCTTGGAAAATCAATATATAATTATAACAGCTTCTTCCTAATAATTGCTTCTTCGTAAAACCAGCACCCAAAAAGATGCTTTCCCTCACTAAAAACCTGATCAAGTCTAGTTTTAATCGTTATCTACCCCACTTACGCGCATAAATTGTACTTCTTACTCTGTATCCCTCTAACTCGTGTGGCTCACGGGTTGTTATACAGTCTAGCAACCTGTCCATGAATGACTTACGTGGTCGATGGAAAACGCGACGTTGAGCAAACCAGCATTCCAGCAAATAGTGTCGCCGTCATGAAATGCCAAATCTTTTATTATTTTTAGCAATGAAAGTATTGCGTCAGCAGATATTGGTTACCATTTTTACTCTTACCATTAACGATAACATAGGGCACTTTCTTTAAGACAATAACAAATTAAATTGATTAAACAGGAATAGACCTAAACTCTTTATTATATTTGATTTTCAGCTACTACGAGTGTGAAGGTGACATGTGTATGGCGGTTAAAGATGACGAAATGTCGCCGCAAACAATGGAATTATATCGCTTTTAAGGATATTAAAGCAAACATTGAAGAGCGAAATTCAATTTTGAAAACAAATTGTTTTGTAACTTTATAACGAAAAACACAAGCTACAAATTAAATATTCTAATCAGTCTGTTTATATCTATCAATATATATATATATATATATATATATATATCTTAAGGTTTTCCTTTTTCTACAATTTTATTAAGTCGTCTATGGCACTATCTGTGTGATTATAATTAATTTTAATTCGTGTTCTCTTTCTCCATCTATCTCTCTCTATCTATCTATCTCTGATGGTTTTGCTTTTTTACTATGGTATTCTAACACATTGTCTATTGCTACATCAGTCTGATTAAAATTAATTTAAAATCGCCTGCTTCAATAGTCCTACTACCCTTCTCAATCCCTGTTTGTGTTTATATATATATATATATATATATATATATATATATATATATATATATATATATATATATATATATATATACTAGCTTAAAAGATGCCCGATAGGGCATCATTTAATCTAGCTCCTGTGGAGGGCTCTTGATTAGTCGATGAGATAAACAACAATAAACTAAAGAGTAACTCAAAATTGATTGCAGCATTTAAGTACTGCATTAATATTTAAGCTTGCCTTTTAAAAGATAATTCTTCGGTTGTCACTTAATATGAATACAATTTGATGTACGTAGGTCCTTACTTCTCGTGCATTATATTTTTTTTTATTTTAAGTTATAAATATTGTTACCGTACTAAAAATTTCATCGTAAAAAATCACATGAAAAAATCACCGGAAACAATCGATATAATGAATCATTGGCATATCTAAATTTCAGTAACATGGACTATTGAAAATTAGAGAGTTGTTTGCGTTTAATTGAAAAAGTGTGGCACACTGAAACACTGTCATTCACATTTGTATATATATATATATATATATATATATATATATATATATATATATATATATATATATATTTGGTACTAATGCTGATGAATCAAATAACTAGATATTAGCAAACGTATATACGTGCTTTAGCGTGCATAAACAGGTAAGCAAATAAATATTTACTCAGTTTAATATAATGTAAAAAAATAGTGCTCAACGTAGTTAGAGCTAAAAAGTATATATTAATAAATTTACTTTCACTGTTAGATGTCTTATTTTACTTTCGTGCTTCACGCAGTCAACTGAACATTTTCCTATGATTTGTTCATGTCATTGTGCATTGTGCTGGCCTTTTCAAATTCTCCTTTTCAGTCGGCGCGATGTGGTAAACGCCTAATCCCGTTTACTCGGTTGTCATTATATTATTATTATTATTATTATTATTATTATTATTATAATCACACGGTTATATATATATATATATATATATATATATATATATAAAAATGCGGGTTGGTTCTCACTCCGCCTAATACCGTCTACTAGGTTGTCATTGTATACTTAGGATCAGAAAGATGCGGCTGAAGTTTCTGGGACTTATACAGAGGAAAGAGGGCCTGGAGAATATGATACCCACGGGTTGAATATAGAGAAAGAGAGACCAGGGAATAAAAGCACGTGACATACCTGGCGAGCTTCAGCAGGTGGATAACAGAACGTGGTCTGGGGGGGGGTAGGAAGCAGAGGGAGGGAACTTGTTGAGAATTGGATGGGGTAGAAGGAGGTGTTCGCCTACATCCTGAAAAGACATGGCACATAAAAAGAAAGAAGAATTTTGTCACTGTTTATATTTTTCGCAGCATCATGACTTAATACATAGCCTGTCCAGTTCGGCAGTATTGGATGCATGTTTGTTTCCAGGGATGCTGCTTTTTTTCATGTCCTGTGTATATTCAAGAGATGGGCGATCACTGTTATTTACATTTTTACTATTCCCTGCACATCTTCGTATCATATGTCTTTTTGCTATATTTTACGCCATCCATGCGCACCCAGTTCAGTTTGTCCCGGTTTGTCTCCCCCTGAAGATCATATTGCCAGTTTATATAAAATTCTCCATAAATTCCTGCCTCATAAGATTTATAAAAAATCAGCTGTCTCTTAAATGGAAATGCTAAATAAATGCAAGCTACCTTGCTAGAATTTGAAACCGTCTCGTTGATTCTATTTCCTGGTATATGACACACCAATCAATGGGTATACAAATGTCTGCATTAGATGTTAGAGTGTTGCTAATTGTTTTTCCACTTACGTGTAATATATTATTCGTTTATATTTATATGCAAGTAAGCGACCGATGTGTGTGTGAACAAATATGTGAGTTTAAATCTTGACTTTCTATGCGTGTTTCCCTATGAAAATACTTCTATATGTGTCGGTAGGTGTTTATATGATCCCGTGACTGTTACTTTACACGCATGCGCAATTCACGCTATAAACTTGGATGGCGAGGTCCGTGTCGCATCGGGTTTGACTGTCAATCTTCAACACTCATCCTAATATAGACAAAGTCGAATTATGAAGGGAACATTAGTGAGTGGCGTGCCTCTCGACATGAACGCCAAACTGAACAGTCATAGTTTACGCATGTTTTTGCACGTGGTACTTAATTTAGGCCGTCGCACCTGCTTCTCTGACATAGGTGTTGTTTATCTAAAGAGAAAATCTCTTATCTACTTCATGTCAGAATGATGCAATTTCACTTTTGCTGATATAATAAAAGGCGCCGAAATGAAAGGTAAAAAGTTTCATCACGCACACACACATTATATATTATATATATATATATATATATATATATATATATATATATATATATATATATATATCATATCTTCATTCAATCATATTTGGATGATAATCTTGGATGAGACTGAAATATTTAGAAAATAAAATAAATGATAAAAAATTCGGTTCCTTCCTTAATGAGGTTAATATCAACATTATGAAGGTGATCCGAGAATTCAAGAGGAAGAAAAGAGGAACATAAATAGACATATGTCGAGATTATTTAAAGAAACATGCTTCAATATATATATATATATATATATATATATATATATATATATATATATAAACCATTTCACTCCCAAGCATGGCAAAAAAACACACACAAAGAGGCAAGGGGGCTACTGATTTTGAATGTATATAAGAAAAATTAAACAAGAACGAGGAACAAAACACTAATAATAATAATAATAATAATAATAATAATAATAATAATAATAATAATAATAAAACAGAAAATAAGAAGATAGCAGATAACGTTTTACATTGCATTTAAGAGGTTAATGATCGAAATTGACTAGAAAACAAGATGGCATAAGGAATAAATACGTGAAAAGAAGCTGACGGATTGCACCTAGACACCAATCTACTACTACGCTCAAATGCATAATGTCTAGGTAGAAATAGGGGATAGCTCATCAGAACAATTATCGTGAAAATATTTATATAAAAGGCACAGCTGGGATCGAAACACGACTGATTTTGTATTAGCACTTGGCAAGGATGAAGGCGAATTTATATGTATATATTTTTAAATAAACATGCCAGTGACTGGAAGAATTCGATTCGTTTTCCCGAAGAGCCTTGCATCAGCAGAAGTAATAGTCACTGTTTATAAATTCGCTTTTCTCCCCGAGAGCTCAACCGAAATAATTTTTCAGCTAGAGATAGATAGATAGATAGATAGATAGATAGATAGATAGATAGATAGATAGATAGAAGCAGAATGAGACATGAAGACAGACATGCAGAATAACGAACAGATAGAGACAGGTGCAGGAGCAGATAGATAGATAGATAGATAGATAGATAGATAGATAGATAGATAGATAGATGAGAACAGGCTCATAGATAGATAGATAAATAGAAAGATAGATAGATAGATAGATAGATAGATAGATAGATAGATAGATAGATAGATGAGAACAGGCTTATACGTAGATAGATAGATAGATAGATAGATAGATAGATAGATAGATGAGAAAAGGCTGATAGATAGATAGATAGATAGATAGATAGATAGATAAGAACAGGCTCATAGGTAGATAGATAGATAGATAGATGAGAAAAGGCTGATAGATAGATAGATAGATAGATAGATAGATAGATAGATAGATAGATAGATGAAGATAGATGAGAAAAGGCTGATAGATAGATAGATAGATAGATAGATAGATGTGAGGGTTTAGTTAGGAAACTATGTCTGAAACCAATAACTTGGTTATGCGCATATCACTGAGTAGAGCATCCTAGCAGGATACACGTGTGTCTGCTCCAGATGAGTCGGATGTGGAGAACTTCTGGGCAAAGCACAGGACTTCAAATTGTCTGAATAGAGCATGGATTGGAGAGTCACTGCTGTTTCATTCTACATGCAAACAGTAACTTAACTTCTTTAAGGTCAGGCTTTCACTATTTACGAGCAGAGACAAAGGGACGTCTGATACAATCAGACATGTTGCTCTGGTACAGCCAGAATAAGTATTTCCTGAGAAATATAGCGGCTGAACATGCACCTGAGAACCAAGGAGATGGACGTGATTTTAATTATTAATTCCGAACTGGAATGAAAGACTTGATGCCGTCTTTCACCTAGGAGTAGACCAAATAAGTGCGTATTTATATAGAATGATATCAAACTTCGTTCCAAGGGACATCATAAAGGAAGTTGCAGAACGAGTCCCGGTCAGTGCGTTTATAACAGAAAGATATATCGTTGGTAGGAGGTTCTTGGCTGGTGGGGGAGAGGATAGCGACATACACTAGCGTATGATCAGAGTGATACTGAACCGATTTCATTACGCAATATTTTAATAAAGAAACGCAATAGAAAACCCCAACCAAGTCACTCACAATCAAATTTTATTTCCAGTCTTGCAAGTTTCCAATATGGCCACCACCAGCAGCACGGGCAATATCAATGCGATAAGACGATTCCTCCCAGACGTATTCAGCATATCACGATCCATTGGGTTGATTGCGTTTGTTATTCGATGTTTAAGGTGATCGAGGTTAGTGGGTAACGTTGGAAAATAAACGCCATCTTTTACACATCCGCATTAGAAAAAAAATCACAGACAGTAAGGTCTGAGGATCTCGTAGGCCAAGCTACAAATAGAAAGGTCTTGGTAAGTGCCTGGACGAGGCGTAATCTGTATGATTTTAAATGTAGACGTCTTCTTAGCACACGCCAGATAGTGGGTTGAGAAATCGCAACCTGAAGGCTAGCTCGATGTGTGGACTTCTGTGGACTTCCCTCAAACGCTGCACGTGTTCTCGCCACTTGTTTCTCCGAAATTTGTGGTCGTCCTGGACTTCTTTTTTATCTTTACACTCTCTTGAATCTGTTTAAAGCACCGTCGAATGTTCTTAGGAGAGGGCGAATTGATGTTGAATTGCCTTCGAAAATCACGTTGCACTGTGAAAAGCGTATTTGTTTTCGCGAACTCGAGAACGCAGAATGGCTTTTGCCGAGGACTCGCCATTCCGATGGTAAAAAACTACCGAAGGTTACCGGAGATACAACGCGATTACAGAACCCCTCTGGTAGCCATTCAAAACTTAGAAAACTCCTCTTGAAAATGCTCACTGACCCATTCCATGGGGATGCTTGAGAACGGAAGAAATACGTCATGAATTCGGTTCATGCTCTTTTAATAACCCTATATATTTCGATATTTGCAGAGGTAAGTTTATAGGAAAAATAACCTTATCAAGGTTCATATCTATCTGTCCTTAAACATTCTTACGTCCGTATAAATTAAGACAAGGCTATATTCTTATCGAAATATACTCTAAAACGGTTTATATCGAAGAATATCGATTTTCACATTTATATAATCATTATGTTCAGTCTTTAAATGACAGTATCGCGAACAAGTATATCCAATTTTTTCCCCCAAAGTTAACAATTTCTTTTTTCCCCAACACTCTGAGATATTTCTGCAATATTTTACAAATCGCCACGTCTTCAGTCAAATTCATCTTAGCAGAACGTCTCCTCGGGTAAAGATATGCCCGGCTATTTAAATCCTTACAAGAGAGTGGTCATGTAATCTTAATAAGAGCCTTCCTTGGAAAAGTAGATTAATTTCAATAAGGCTGTCCGTTTGGTCATTCATTACGACCAGCCTTTGTTTATGCCGGTGGATTAACGAAGTAAAAGAAGAGGCAATAAAGCAGCTGATCTCGGTGTTAAAGAGGACACTGAACGCTGTAAATATTGTTCATTGCTTGCTCAAATATTTATGAGAATTGATCGGTCATAAAAAGAGGAACAAGTAGAAGAGTCCGTTGATAAGAAAGAAAAGAAATAATTTGTAGCGTAACTATCTTTCGGAAGGAGTTTGCCATAAAATATTTAACAATAACTTTATCTAACAGTGTCCACATATATTTAAATCTGCAACTGTCTATATAACTCATGATCGAATAAAGAAAGCACTAACAAATATACGTATATGGCTGTATAAGCAGGGATATCTATAATATATCTGTGTCACAATGAATATATAATCAGAGCCATTGATTCATTAATTTATCGAACAGCTTCCATAGATAGATAGATAGATAGATAGATAGATAGATAGATAGATAGATAAAAACAAAAAAAGGATGAATGGAGGAAAGATATTTAATTTGAATGGCGGCATCAGATTGTAAAAATAGAAGAGAATAAGTAAGATATATATATATATATATATATATATATATATATATATATATATATATATATATATATATATGTGTGTGTGTGTGCGCGCGCAAGATAACGATGTATATTTTATATATCAAGAAATGTAGTGTAAGTTTAAATTCTTATTACAAAAGGTTTTTCATTCGTTTTAAATTTTCCATACTATATATATATATATATATATATATATATATATATATATATATGTGTGTGTGTGCGTGTGTGTGTGTGTGTGTGTGTGTGTGTGTGTGTGATCATACTTGATAGATAGATACAAATGCCCGCACACTCACACACACACACACGGATATATATATATATATATATATATATATATATATATATATATATATATATATATATATATATATATATATATAGACAGACAGACAGATAGATAGATAGATACTAATATATATATATATATATGTGTGTGTGTGTGTGTGTATCGTTAGATATGAACGCACATACATATACATGTATATATAAATAATTGTGCATTTAGAAACCAATCCCTTTTTACAAATATTTCATTAAACACAACAGACAAGGTCCTGCGATTAAGTTTTTTATTTCATTTTCTTGTGTTCTGGATACAGTGGGTAGAAACTGCTTCAATATTCTGTAATTCCGAGAATTTTCGGCTATACTTTTAGCCATTATCAAGGATGATTTTGTTTTTGCTCTTTAATTGGGTTTATCGGTTGTGTCTATGTTTTTAGAGTTATAGGAATGTTTTCTTTTCCGAACACAGTCAGCACATTGTGGCTGTGTTCGTAGTTAATATTACTGAGTGATTCCTTTTTGTTTTTTTTATTATTATTAAGGCTTCAATTATATACAATATTTTTACATGTAGATGAGATTATTATGCGTTTATTTCCTACTAGTATGTTTGAGATGGAGACTTATAAGATTGTGTGTGTGTTTAAATGGTTTCTGATGGAGCTGTGGTCGGACAGGTGTAAGGTAAGTCGTCTGGATAGGCATATCATAGTGTGACCGATGTAATTATCAATGAGTTCTGCTTGATCAGGAACACAGTTCGTTAAGGGTCATTGAAATCGTAAATAATGTTCGTTTTTTTTATAGTTTAGATTTTGCAGGTGTGTTGTTATTTTTTAGAATAAGGTTAGCTATTTTAAATATTTTGTAGTAGATAATTTAATGTTTTGTTCGGGTTAACAGGAGTAGTGTATTTCTTTACGATATTTCTAACTGAAGATTCATCTTATTTGGAGCTGGCCTGCATTTGGCTATTGTAGAAAATATTTAGGTTATTTTTGTCTGTGTGTTCAGTATCGTTATTATTTACTTTAAACAGGCACACAAACAAGTCAATTATATATATATATATATATATATATATAATCGACTCTCCCGTCGGGTTCGACGTATGAGGGTCAGGCCGATAAGTTTCCAGAAAACCGACATCCCGACATCGGCACATGAGATTTGATTATAGTGGTGAAGGCCTCGTGGAGGGATGAATACAGAAACCTGGTGCACCGAATGCCAAAAGGTTCCCAAACGACCCTCCGCAGGTTTTGAATTCAGAGTTGTCCTTCTCCTAGACCAGTTGCCATCCAAGGCTATAGAACCCAGTCTGTCCTGCTATTTTACCCATAGCTGGAGGGAGATGAAGAGGATTCATACCTTTCCCAAGGGTATTAGCATGCAAGTGAATGTAATGGATTCGGCTGTAATTCGAACTGGGCTCTGCGATTCCTCAATCCAAGCCGCTATCCATTACTCCACCGTATGTATGTATGTATGTATGTATGTATGTATGTATGTATGTATGTATGTATGTATGTATGTATGTATGTATGTATGTATGTATGTATGTATGTATGTATGTATGTATGTATGTATTTTAATAAGTTTTTTTTATGCTACAACATTTAATAATAGCCAGGAAAAAGAACAATGTATATGGCATTTTATTAAAAAAAAAAAAAAGACAAAAAAAACGAGTTTCATCCCAGGACTTATCAAGTTTATTTATATGGGATATAAAATATATATATATATACGCGTGTAAATTAAATTAATATAACGAATGGAAAGGAAAAAATATAAATTTCAAGAAAACTAGAGTCCAATAACATTCAAACCCAGTAAGCATTCCCTCTGTTTACAAAGGGAAGGCCCACGATATCTGCTATACAAGAACTCTAGAACGTTGAGGTGATATATGGAGTGGGAGCTAGATAAAATCGAAAAACGGTCACCACTAAAACCAATTACACAATTCCTGCTATTTATTACATGCTCAACAATAGCAGAGCCATAAGTATTGGTATATATATATTAGGTTGGTGCAAAAATAATGATAACATAATGTCGTTTTTTACCTATTTTTAACGTCAAAAAACGACATTCTTACATCATTATTTTGCACTAACCTAATATATATATATATATATATATATATATATATATATATATATATATATATATATATATATATATATACGTATTTGTTGGAGAATATTGTGTTTAGAATTAAATATTTGTAAATCTATGCCATAAAATATATAAATTTTTTATATATGAAGAATTTTGATGGGATTAAAATTGTATGACTAAGTTCAAAAGTTTACGTGTCACCCTTTTTGTACCGAGACTTGTTTACTGTGTTGCATCTGAACATGCGCACAAACGAGAGACTCTGGCAAATTTACATCTAGAATTTTTATATATTTGAGCTATAAAATCTAGCCAATTTTATTTAGATTCTTCTTCCTTTTGGCTCTTTTATCATTCTTATTAAATATCCCCCTCATATATATATAAATATATATATATATATATATATATATATGAATTTCCCTTGCAGTTAAAAATCAGTAAATTTAAAAAATAAGTTACTCCAAAATTCGCTTGTGGATGAAATGGAAGTAATGTTTTTAGCTTCCATTTTTGAAACATGGTTATTACTGTGTAGCGAAAAAACATATTTTAAATCAATTAATTTATAATATTAATGCTCTGTAAATTTACATTTAACACTCTTTTGTAAAAAAATAAAAATATCAATAAGAACACCGGATTACATATCTTACTGTCCTTTCGTTTTATTTAAATATACATAGATGCATACATACATACACACACACACACGCATATATATATATATATATATATATATATATATATATATATATATATATTTGTGTATTTAAATGGATATATATGCAGATATTTAAATTATATTTTTATCGCCGTTTGTGTGCGTGTGAGAGAGAGCGAAAGTGAGAAAATATTTACCTTTCGTGTATGAACCTATAAACTATACCGTGTTATATCTTTCTTAATACTCTTTTATAGTCTATATTCAAAAGGGAACATTACTATTGAAGGTCATCAATGTCACCATCGTCGATTTAAATCTTAGTTATTTTTCATTCATAACAATATCTGTTCGCTGTTGCAAACGTGATTTTCATCTCATCCTGCGCCATTTTATCTGTCCAGAATAGTTTTTCCGAGAGCATTTTCTTTCTGCTTATCCCACCATTTATTACAGCAAGTGAGTAATTAAGATTTGTTCAACGATTAAATGGGTTTTCACGTGGAGCAAAGATGTGAATGTCTACAGCAATGATTATTACCAAAACATTGCATATTTAAGAAGCATCTATCATTTCATATCTGTTCATGCATGTAATTTTTAAATTTTTTTAATGAGAAAAAACAACAAAAAACCCCAAAATGATGAGGAAAACAGTCTGTATATAAATAAGATCTCATCCTAAAAATTCAAAAAAAGTAATCATTGAAACGTATATAAAAGAAATCTGCTATCCAAAGATTATATATATATGTAACACATTTCTAAAAAAATAAACTATTTCGATTCACATCCAATCTTCCGTGTCCCGTTATTACCTGGATGTATTGTAAAATAAAAACAAATCAATTTCCATGCCTGATGATATCTGCATGAACAGATTAAAGTACTAGCAAAAAATGACCTTATACAAGTTGAATTTATTAAAAACAGGGATCACAACATTCATCTAGAGGTTCGTGGGGTAATGTAAGAAATTTGTTTGCGAAGATGTATTCTCGCCATTTATATCATTAACTTCACTAATCTGTTTTTTGCATGAAAGATTCATGTAATATATATATATATATATATATATATATATATATATATTTTATATATATATATATATAAACGGCCACAATGTGTTAACTGTGTTTGAGAAATGAAAAATAAATCCGTTAAATTTAGATAAAGAAATATAATAGACTATATAATCAGATAAATAATCATCATTGAAAATGTCTAAAAGAATAGCCGAAAGCGTTCGGATATACAGAATATTTTCACCCTACTTACACACTTTTCCCAGAAAAGAAAACACTTATAAGAACAAAAAAAAAAAAAAAAAAGCTTAATCGCAGTACCTTGTTAATGAAAACTCGTATAAACGATGGATTTCCGCCTATATATATATATATATATATATATATATATATATATATATATATATATATATATATATATATATATATATATCGTTTATGCAAGTGCCGTTGAAAACGACTGTGGTTATTGTTTTTATATAATTTATAATGTCTTCCGATAATTTTCTTTCTTTTAAGGGGATAAATTGTATATGAACTGTCTGAATGTTTTACAAACACATTCGTCTATACGTTTAGCTATTGTCAAGAATTAAATTTTATTTTATTTTACATTTAATTGAATAATGGATTGTTTTATGTCTCCGTCTAGAGTTATAGGAATGTCTTATTTTTCCAAAAACGGTCAGCACATGGTGGCCGCGTTCATAGCTTATATCATTGAGTGTTGGCTTTTACTTTTTATTAAATGTAATAAATTATTAATAATGCTTCAATTATTTTCGGGCTTCTATTACATTTGATAATATTATTATATTTGCATCTATATATTATGGATAGTGTTTTTTTTTTATG